AAACAAGGGCTCGTTCAGTTTGGGGATAAGAGGAGGTGTTGCGCTCACTGGCAGGTTTTCCTCTCTCCACTTGTTGAAAAAGATTTTAAAGGTTGAATATGAGACTAAATGATTTGTTACGGTGGCTGTTTTCGCAGTGTTCCAGTCTGTCTGCCTTGCACCGTGCCGCAAGTGCTTGAAGCTTAACTCACACCACCTCGTAAATTATTTTCCCCAAAAAATGGCGCTCTCCGTCTCCCTTCAGTGACGGCTTTTAAGAGCCGAGGTCCACTAGATTAGAAGACATAGGGTTCAGTATGGTGTCATGATGCAATGAGTGGTGATGGTGCATCGAGTCTGGGCCGCTGGGTACCGGGATTGCGCTGGGTCCCGGCGGGGGCGCAAGGCCATGCAGGGACGGTAAACCGGGGTTTGCGCCGAGGAGCTGAGCCGGACTCGGAGACGTATGATCCGGAGTCCCAGAAGGTGTTTTATCGTCGTCCGAGCTCCCCAAAATAGTTTTATTTCCATTAATAGAAGAAGTCAATGGGTTGTGACTGTTGCCGTTGGAGTTCTCGTTGTTTTCTCTGCGAACAGAAACCAAAGTCACACATCAGTTTGGTACAAATGCGGAATTACAACACTGCGAAAAAGTGCATAATAACCAGGCAGATTTAGGTTAACTGAAATTTTCATATCTCGGAGTAAAATCTACAGGAACAAAGACACCAGCTAATTGTAGCCTAACATGTTTAAGATTGCATTAAAAATATGAACATGAACACACACTTGAATTAAAGTGGCACACACAATTCTGTTGTGTTTACTAGAATATTTATTGGGTTGTGACACATTTACAACAGCCATAATAATCTCATTAATGTATCAGTTCTTAGTCTGGTTATTTATTAATGTTCACACGAGAATACGTTGAGGCACGTGTGCCCAGATGCAATCACTCAGCCAGCAAAAATAATTAGAGGCTCAATTCACTACAGAAGCGCTATGTTAAATAGTAGTAGAGAGTGACTGGAAGATAATAAATCCATCTGACTACTGAACTTGCATGAAACTTTTAGAGCAAGTTAATTTAACCATAGTGACCTGTGGAGAAGCTCAAACTGAGCAAGTCCTCGGCCACTCGAGGTGAGTTTGTCCACAGCTCTAAATAAATGACAGGCCTAATCATTCTGAAACGCGTGCGTACTGCGTATGGCATAGTTCATAGGTTTGCTGTGAGGCTTTTCTCAGTGGGAAGACATGATTTACGTGGAGCTTTAAGCCCGAATTAGTGGCCAGGGGGTGAAAGAAGACACCGACCCAGTGAACACCTGACAAAAACACATCTCCCACACCTCTCTACATGCCTGACTGTATAATTTCCAAACTCTGAAATGGGCAAACGACTCATAATGAAATGTCAGCCTGGCTGATATGAAGGCCAGACAACAAGCCACATCAATTACACCGCAAAACATCTTTCATACGTGTTCTGATATGTTTCCTTGCATATACTATGTGTTCATCCAGTGTCTGTGATTCACAGTAGTCTGCATATATTTCTTCTCTGATCTTAACGTGAAAGTCAAGTTTCACGTTATAATCAGTGTGGTTACTAAAACATAAAAGTGGGGTAAAAGCAACTTTTATAACCTTGTAATTTACCTGACAACACGTCTTTCATTTCGTGCGTTTCAACTTTTAATAGGGGCTTATACAGTTATCACAGAAATACACACAGTGCAACTTTAGTTTGTGGCGATTGAATAAGATCTGAGAATATGTCCATGCTATCTAAGTCAAATACATTTCCAGATGTAGGTCAGAAATTTATTTTTGCGTACAGAGTCAGCAGTGGCAGTCCGTGACTCAGCAACAGTTTGGAACTACCTCCTATGTTTTACTTGATGTGACAATGATAAAAAAAAAAATAAGATAATCTAATCTGAGATTAGCGTCTGTTTTAAGAAGTAAATATACTCCTACCTTTCCTTTGCCTCAGCCGCTCGATCTCTCTGCCGTCGGTTTTTGAACCAGTTGCTGACTTGCGTGGTCGTGAGTCCCGTGGCCTCGGCCAGCTCTCTTTTCTCCCGTGGGGATGGATAAGGGTTGTGCGTGTACCACTCTCGGAGGATACTCCTGCTCTTCTCTTTAAAGCAATAGCTCGTCTCCTCTCCGTCCCAGATAGAGCGGGGCAGGGGGAACTTTCTCCGGACGCGGTACTTCCCTACGGCGCCGAGCGGACGGCCTCTCAGCTTCTCTGCCTCGATGTAGTGCGCTTTGAGCCACAGCTGTTGTAGCTTCGGGTGGTTGTGCGGCGAAAACTGGTGGCTCTCCAGGATCTTGTAGAGCTCTCGGAAGTTCCCCCGATGAAAAGCAACTACGGCTTTCGCTTTGAGAACACTCTCATTTTTGTGGAGGTGCTCGCACGCCGGGAGGGACCACAGAAAGCGCCCAAGACGCTCGATGTTCCCCCCTTGCTGGAGGACTTCGCAGACACAAGCCACTTGTTCTTGCGTAAAACCAAACGTCGGAAGCATGGACATGGCGACAAGTAAACCAATACAGATTATATTGTACCTTACTTCCACGTCTCTCCTCTCAGTGTCTCATTAAATCAAAACGCATTAAGTCCATACGCGTCAAAAAGTCCCCAAAAGAGTTACCTAAAACGTAAAAGTGCCCAAGGTTAGGCAAAGTCCAACTGCGTATTATGGAATAAGCTCAAGTCCGTTCAGCCATGCGAAACCCCAGGCGACTATTCTCCATAAAGTTGCTAAGAAAGAAAGTTGCTACTCCTTCCACCGTCCTCCACCTTTTCTATGCCGTTTCAACATAAACTACTCCCGGAGACCGGGCTCGCTGGCTCGTTTTAATAATATTATTCTAAGCTGGCAAGACAAGCGATTATATGAACTCTGATTGGTCGGTTATCTGACCCACGGATGGTGAGGATAAGACAATAGCCTTAGTCAAATTATTTGCCATGGTTACCCTGTCACTCAAAGTAACCCGATATGCTTTGAGGTGGCTCCCTAGCAAAATCAACCTGATTGTTCCCTTCACGACCAGCCCGCCTACCAATAGAAGAATTGCTCAGATTTTTCCTTCTAAAACACTTTTTTCTTCCCCTTCACGTTGACAGACACCTCAGGCAGCCAAAGAGCGTAAAGCTGTGAGGAGCGTGGATGAGTAGAGCGGCGTTGATCCCACAGCCCGGGGAAGGATGGCGCCAGAGTGCACGGAGCCTGGTGCAGTTTGTCTTCATGTCCCTGGCAGCTCTCACAAATCAATCAAGATCTCCTTAATGCTTGGAACTTTAAAGTTAGTGTCTTCATTATTCCAAAGACGTGAAATAACTGTCAACAAGTGACAGATTGTTACACGGGTTTGAAAAAAAAATGCTGCCACTTCTTTATAAAGTATATTTTTCTTCTAGTAAACGAAAAAATATAAATATGACCAAAAGTGAGTCAGACTATTTCTGCTCCCGAGGATTGAAACGAGACTTAAACTCTAAGGTGCTGATGTGGGAGTGCAGTGAACCATCACCCGATTTGTTAATTATAATATTCACAAACCGGAATTCTATAGAGAGGTATTTAAAATAACAAAAATACGTTAGAATAAAGTTTAAAAAGTTATTTGTTTTACAAGCAGACTTTGTCTAGTCATACTCTCAAATACGTCGTATCAGTTTTAGACCTAAATAAACATGACATTTCTATATTAATAGCAACTAAAGAAATCTTATAATTTTTTTGCGAAGTATGTGTTGAGCTGAAGTGGATTATGCATGTGATGACAAAGATTATGAATATCTAAATGAGTGGCGAGGAAGCAGCTGCAGGAGCGCACAGATAGGCAAACAATCTCAAGGTGTGCAGCCGCTTCATGGGGAAATAAGGTGGTCGTGTGCGCAGTGGAGTGTGCGGGACAAAGAGCGGAGAAGAAGGAAAGTCTGGCAGGCGACAGCGAAGAAGAAAAACGGCTTCAATCAGCACACCGGTGAGACAAATATTTTCGTCCGTATTTCTGTCATCTGACTCACGAGGTTTAGCGCATCAGCGAGTAAATTATCTCAAGGACTGACATATGAGATCTGAAGACAAGACCTAAGTAATCATTTTAATATGACGATTACATTTTTTTTGAGAGTATGGCTGTAAGGAGGGGAGCTTATGTGAAAGTGAAAGGTGTTTAAGGGTAAAATGAGAGGAGGTTTTATAGTTAACTGAGGAGAAGTGAGTGATGTGAGGTATTTATATATATGATAGGACGACCTAAAAGAAACCGGGAGCAGCCAAACTTGTGCGCAAAAACTCAGGTTTCTAGTTGGACTCAGGTAGTCGAGGGCATGCGTGCGTGTTACTGACTGCTGAACCAAAGATTGACCAGTTGGTAGATTTCTATCGCCTCACCATGGGACCGCTTCATTAGAGATACGATTGTCAGGTACACCCACACTCGGTGTCACATCACTTCACACACACACACACACACACACACGCACACACACACACACACACACACACACACACTCATCATCATGTTCTCATCATATATTATCAGTGCAGAACTAAAAAGCTTGGAGAGATTCCAGAAAGAAACGAGGTGCTGACGGCTGTGAAATAATGGTATGAAGTGTACAGAATTATTATTATTATTATTATTATTATTATTATTATTATTATTATTATTATTATTATTATTAGATGTTGTTGTTGCTGTTAACATGATTTAATAGGAGCAGTTTCGTCATAGGCCTACTTGAATTTTAGAATTTTGGAAAGGTTGCAAATAAATTACAGCAGCTACCTCAAATCTCAGGCATGTAAAATTAAAGTGGTATTGTCGGTCGAAATCATTTAAGTAAGTTACCCAATCCACAGTCCACCATCCATCCAATCCATTGTCAATATTTCTCGCTAAGGCAGTGAGGCATCGCAGCCGCTGCTGTTTTTCTGTTTTTTTCTCTTTTTTAAAATTAAATTAATAAATTATTAAATGAATAGTGTAATTGTGAAATTGGTTCATCACCACAGACGAAGGCTCCTGTAAGAGAAACCTCATTCCTGTTTCCGCCCTGTGTCCTCCCTCAGTTTAATAAATTGACTTTGGTTTCGCCTGAAGCCCAGTTCTCAGAGTATTACGGCATTAGGCTGACTGACGGTAATCGTCAGGGGACCGGCACCGACCTGGCTCGCCTGGATAGTGAGAAAATTAAAAGGGCAATTTAAACGTGTAATAATAATAATAATAATAATAATAATAATAATAATAATAATAGTTTACATATATTATATTTAAATTATAATTATATTTATATATTTTTTTTTAACTTCACCCTGCGCTTGCGCTTTTAATTCAGACTATTAATAAAAATCATTGTGAGGCCTGTAAAACAAAATTTGACTGATATGAAATTTTAAACCGATTTCAGATAAAGCTTATCATCTCAACTCATCTAACGCAAACACCCAAACGCCTCGTAATCGAGTTTGATGATCGAGGTTCTCCCAGTGGCGAATGTGCTGCTGCGATTACACCGGCAGCAATCCAAAGAAGTTACTCTGTACACTCAAATATTTGTGATGAGGCTAAATAATTTGTTCGTTTGTCCTTACAGACTGATGATGCTCCCTACTGAACTCTTTTTATTTTCTCTTTCTCTCGCTTTTTTGTCTTGATCTCAGCTTAAACTTCAGCACTGAAGATTTAACGAGAATAAGGTCTGAGGCTACATGTGAGCACCTGTTCAGTTCAGTTTATCATAAGTCTTTGTGTTACTCTCATGTGATCATACCTTCTTACAGGTATTCAGTCTAATTTCACATCTCTGTCAAAATAAGTTTACATGGTACCAGATCTTTGACATAAAATTCTTTCAGATAATCTTACTGTCCCACTTGTGTTTTTGACATGCTCCTGCTCACACTGATATTTGTTATTTTTTAAAATGCCTGTTACATCTCATTCGCTGTGCATTTGATAGGTTAACGATTAGAAATGTCCATAGCCAAATCAGAGTAGAGTTAAACAAGCACTGACAATATGACTGCATATACAAAGTATCTTCATCGCAGTGGGATTGGCCAGGTCAGATCTTTGTCTATATATCGGCAGTGACAGGGGTCCGATGTCTGGCTCTTGACAGTGTTTGTAAACCACTTGTTTCCAGGGATCAGTTTGATCAGAAGGATCTGTTTCTGAAATGGTAATTATTACAGCTGCTGATGAATAGAGATCATATTTCTCCTAATAGCCAACCCCCTATTTTCACAGCCTCCCACTGCTCACCTCAGCCACTCTCCACCACGACCTCCTCTAATTGAGCTGATTATTGCAAGATGTATGTGTGCGTGTGTTGTATAGACTGTGTTAACGTATACAGGAATAGGATGTGGCTTGGATTGGGTAAGACTGCTGCTGAATACACTGACCTGAGACGAGCACAACACAAGCTTGATAAGTATCAGTTTTTTGGGAAAGACATCCAAATGTTAGATAGAGGGAAAGAAATTATTAAAGCCAGAACCTCTGTGTCTATACTGGTTAAGGGGATGTGAATGAGGGCCTATCCAATAATTGGTTGTTTACATCTATCTTGTTACCCTAGAGGCTAGGGCTATCCTATAGCACAAGGAGGAGATTTCACTAAACCACACATGCAAGCAACAAGGAGGGGGTCGTCATTGAGGGGCGGGGCGGAGAGGGGTGGGTGAATTTGCTTGTGTGGGGTTCCTGTGTTCATCTCATGAAAGGCTCTGACCGGTTGGCAGGTTCATCAGATTGGACGGTTTACATTTCAGGCCCTCTCTACACTATACGGGCCTGGCAATTTAACTGGCAGTTAAAAGGTGAGTTAAGCATCACCTTCAGTTGATATTCATCACAGAGTGCACACACTCAACTATAAATGTGAAATAAAAGTAAAAGATTCGGTCTTAATTATTTTGCTTTGTTTAGGTTGTAAAAGCTTTTGAGACATCAAGGTATTATTGTAATCAACCATGGGCTAAAAATGCTTTGAGTATTCAACAAGTCTGCCATATTGTCAGTTGGATCCCTCCTGGATCTCACATAAAATAATCAAGAGGTCGTACGCGACAGATAAGTATATGGACCAGCTACCAGGCAAGATAGTTCGTGAAAAACAAAACAAAACAAAACAAAACAAAACAAAACAAAACAAAACAAAACAAAACAAAACAAAACAAAAATTCCTACAATTAAAATCATTCTGTGCCTCATACAGTTTAATGTACCATATTAATCACCTAACACCCCACTGTCCCCTCACCACCACCACACTGCTCTGTAACATGCCTATACCAAAACTGGAGCTGGTCTGAATACTGGAGCAAATCGCTACAAGTGTGCGTTTTTCTGCAAAGCTGGTTAACAGAGATTATATATGTGCATCTGTTTTGTGTGTGTCTGTGTGTGTGTGTGTGTGTGTGAGAGAGAGAGAGAGTTGGTTGCTGCTGAAAGTAATTTATTCGATCAATCACTCCATTTGATTCCTGTTTATTTTCAGGAGTTGCATGGTCACTTCAGCCACACACTGAGCTCTTTATGCACTGCCAAGGCTTTTCCCCTCAACCAATAAGACTGTATTTGGCTATAATTTGGAGAGGAGAGCGGTTCCAGCACTTCTCAGATATTTCATGGTTCCCTGCCTTTATGGTGAAATCCCCTCAGATCTGTTTCTTGTCAAACTGGCAGTGTGCAGGCATGCAGGTATACCAGCTTCATACATACACTGATTTATATCAGCGCTGTGGGCTTGTTTTAAATGACTGCAAACACGCTCCTGTGTGGAACTAATAGTTATCATCATACATAATTTGGAGAATAGGGCAAAGTATGCAGCCTCGTCTTTTAAAGGCATTACTATGAAGTAAGGATTTTATTTCTTTTCTTATTTTTATTTTGCCTACATTGGATAAGACTAATAAAAAAAACCTTTTTAGAGTAAACTTTTTGTTTAATCTTAAAACCTACAGTTGATATGAACTTTCATGCATAGTTGGTGCATCTTGTGATGCTGGTTGTTAACAATAAATTGCAAACCTAGCAAGAAATTAACTCGCTCCTTTGCAGTATTTTGTTACACCAAGCAACTAAGAAACTACCATGGGACCAATATGTAGGATCAGATAAACTTTGGTCTGCTCTGCATCAAAGTAGACAGAATGCTGGGCGGTATAATTGGATCATGATAACCAAATGCTTCTGATCATGTAATATTTGCAGCAGAACACAAAATACCTCTTTTGCCAAGAAATAGGAGGGAAGATTTTGCTCCACCCCTAAAATAAATATAAAGGGGACTTGAATGTGATACCACAAATGTTATTTCAGTGTGAAGAAGGTCAGAGCTTATTTTGGAAACTGGAAGCAGTAACACACAAAACAACATTTCAAATTACCCACAGAAATCTCTATAGCTCTCTGCAGGTTTTACAGTCCTGTCTGCTTGTTAAGTCTTTCAGTAAAGATAGCTTGGATGGCCAGGTTTCTATTTTTGTTCAAGAAAATATGTGAATTCATAAACTGAGTTTTCTCTTTGGGTTGAACCTGGGAGACTGTAAGATTCCTGTGTGAATCTTTGCGTTCTTACAATTGTATTTAAGCTTTCTACTTATGGCGAAAGTCTGCAGAATTTCCTTAATGTTTTTTCCTCATGCAACATTCTTCCTTTTTTTTACAGTGCTGGAACTCGTATGTCAGGAAAGAATTTATTAAAAGCAACTGGAGTAATTAGCAACGCGCTAATGCTTGAATTTGTATCCATTCCTGTATGTAGGGTTTTTTACAGCACTTCGTGGTTTTAGTTGAAACACAAGGCCTGACCCCATGTCACTGGCCATATGGGCAGTAAATACTTCCATGATAGAGTCAGTGGTTGTACTGATACTGTACCAGAGAGAAATGTCTTGTTATATCACACTACACTGTGTATTTTATTGCATGGAGATGACAGACAATGACTTTTTAATGTG